AATTTCCAAACAATTTAAAACATTTAAATCAAAACGATATTTAATTATCCATCAGAGTAAATCAAAACGGTTGCGGAAGCTAAATTTTTAATTCAAAACACAACTTGGGAATCATGCCCGAAATAGTAATAAGTCATTTAAATAATAATAATAGTTCAAAATCATCGAACACTGCCATGCACATCTCAGCCACCTCATCGCCCTCCAGGATTGGCTCTAAGCTCAGCATTTCCGGATTACCTACGTGTAGCAATAGAAAAAAGGGCTACACGCTCAGCATTGAAGCTAAGTGAGAAATATCTAACATACAACTATACCCATAGATGATCCCACTAGCCCATATCCTCATACGATATCATGCACACAACATGCTCAACATACTCACATCATACAGAATATAACAAATGTAATTAACATCATCATCCAAGTGGTACGATTTACAGAATACGATAACAACTTTTCCACTTCCTTTACTTTACGTTCTTTCTGTACTCGGCTCTTAACCTATACTAGGTAAAAGCTTGACTGAATTCGACTTGCCTATGGAGTCATGACCTTCCCCTTCGGAACGAAGGTCAAGCTCAAACAAACTCGGGAGTTCCTCGTTGGGTGGGTGAGATCCCTATCCCCTTCGGAACGATAGTTCTTAGATCCCCGTGTACACGTTCTTACTCGGACATTCATTGGACCCAGCAGGTACCACATGACTTTAACTTACTAACTTATGACATAACTTGCCATTATTTCCATTCAGGTCAGTTCCTAGGGTTCGTTCTAGGTATTTCATCCTTTAATTGTCATTAGTTCATAGCATACATGTTCATGCATCATACACATATTTAATCACATTCAATACACAAAATCAGCGGCCTAACCCTGGGTATTGACACCCATGTTTACGGTCATGCAACACACAAAGTCTCGGAATCGATCCTCGACGCAAACGACAGATTTCAGACTGGTTCAGGTACCTCACGGTACCCTTGGCGGTAGGGGTTACTGGCCCCACGGTACCAAGGTACTGTCCCCATGGTACGGGCGTACCGACCGTGTAAGCTAGGGTCCCTTTCGGTAGATCATCACGATAGCCTCTACCGGTCAGGCGGTAGAGTCCACCGTCCATACGGCACCTGGGTCCCGTCCTAAGTCAGGTACCGACAGAGAGAGAGAGACGAAATTAGGGAGGCTGGCGGTAGTTAGGTACCACGTTGCGGTACCCCCTACCGTTTGTTGCGGCGAACACCAGACTTGCACTAGCTCCGTTTTCGCCCATCAAACAGCATTAGTTCCAGTAAATACAAGTATAACCGATCATAAACCACCAATCCAACATTATCTAAGCCTCCCTCAGTCATACTATCCCAAATCACATTTTTCACATCATAAACTACGTAAACAAAGCATAATTCTCGTATAGTCCAAATAGATCAACCGTAACGATTCTACGAACGTAAGATTCAAACCTATGAATATAACCATACGTTAGATAACCACGTACTCACCTCGAATTTGACGATTAAACTACGAGATAGTACTCACGAACAACGGCGGCAGATCCTTCCTCTTCTTTCTTCTTTCTCTTCTTCTCTTCTCCTTCTTCCTGCGGTTGTCCTTCTACTCTGTTCCGTTCGGTGATAGTGAGACACGAGAAAGAGAGAGAGAGAGAGAGAGAGAGAGAGAGAGAGAGACGCAAAAGAGTGGGGAGGAAGTTACGTAAATATGGTATGGCGTGAGTGTTTGGGGAGTGTAGGTAGTGTATTTATACTTTTGGGGTTTTGCGCTCCATATTAACTGAATGTACCTAGCCCAAACGCACTTCCCGGGCCCACTGACTCCAAATCCAAATCTGATTTCGCCGTTAGATTCGATCCGTCGAACCCTACACAGCGGTATATTCTTTATTGTCAAACAAAAGGTATATGTAATTTTCCACCGAGTCCATCTCAATAACTAATTAATTATTTCTAATTAATTAATTCTAATACGCCAGGTTTTGGGGCGTTATATTTCTCTCCCCCTTAAAAGAATTTCTTCCTCGAAATTTACCTGAGTCATTGGTCACTGAAGAGTTGAGGATACTGAGCTCTCATGGACTCCTCGGTCTCCTAGGTTGCTTCTTCCACTGCGTGGTTTCGCCAAAGCACCTTGACCAAGGGAACTGTCTTGTTCCTCAGTTCCTTTACTTCACGTGCCAAAATCTGTATGGGTTCTTCCTCATACGTAAGGCTCTCATCGAGGGTGACCGCTCCCTCCGGTAGGACATGTGACGGATCAGATCGATATCTTCTCAGCATAGACACGCGGAATACATTGTGAATCTTTTGTAGTTCTGAAGGTAACTCCAGCCGATAAGCCATTGGTCCTACTCGTTCAATGACCCGATACGGTCCTATGAACCTAGGACTCAGCTTTCCTTTCTTGCCAAACCTCAACACTTTCTTCCATGGAGAAACCTTGAGAAACACCCAATCATCCACATTGTACTCAATTTCCATACGCTTGAGATCGGCGTAGGATTTCTAACGATCCGAAGCAACTCGCAATCTATCTCGTATTATGCGGACCTTCTCTTCTACCTCATGGACCAGATCGGGTCCTTCTAGCTTAGTTTCACTCAGCTCGGTCCAACAGACTGGAGTTCTACAACGCTGGCCATACAGTGCCTCGTATGGGGCCAACTGTATACTAGCCTGGTAACTGTTGTTGTAAGTGAACTCCATCAACAGCACGTATTGTTCCCAACCATCACCGAAATCGATGACACAAGCTCTCATCATGTCTTCCAAAATCTGAATCATTCTCTCATACTGGCCATCTCTAAGGGTGGAATGTTGTGCTGAAATTGAGCTTAGTGCCAAGAGCCTTCTAAAAACTCTTCCAGAACTTTGATGTGAATCGCGGGTCGCGATCTGAGATGATAGATACAGGCACTCCATGCAGTCTCACAACTTCTCGAATGTAAAGCTCAACCAACCTCTGCAAGGAAAAGTCTTGTCGGACAGGGAGGAAGTGAGCTGATTTAGTCAACCGGTCCACAATGACCCACACTGCATCGTTCTTCTTATTCGACAAGGGTAAACCTATCACGAAGTCCATCGTGATCCTCTCCCACTTCCACTCAGGAATGACTGGTGGGTGTAGCAACCCACTCGGCACTTGATGCTCTGCCTTTACCTGCTGACAAGTCAGGCACCTAGCCGTAAACTCTGAAATTTCTCGCTTCATCGTCGGCCACCAGTAAGTTTTCTTGAGATCTTGGTACATCTTGTTGCTGCCAGGGTGCATGGTGTACATGGTCTCATGAGCTTCCCGTAGCAGCCGATCTCTCACTTCACCATTCGGTACCACTAAGCGATCCCTAAAGAGCAGCCCTCCACTGCCATCAATGGTGAAGTCCTGTCTCTCCCCCTTAGAGACAAGCTCACGAGTCTTCGCACAAAAATCATTCGTACTCTAGGCCGTACGGATCTCAACTGCCCAGCGTCGACTAGAGTCGTAATTCAGCCATAGTCTTCCGACTCAAGGCATCAGCCACGACCTTGGCCTTACCTGGATGGTAGTCGATATAGCAATCGTAGTCCTTGATCAACTCCAACCACCTCTGTTGTCTCAAATTCAGCTCTTTCTGGGTTAGCAAGTACTTCAAGCTCTTGTGATCTGTGTGGTTGTATGTAGTCTCGCCAAATAAATAGTGCCTCCAAATTTTCAATGTGAAAACCACTGCTGCTAGCTCCATATCATGTGTAGGGTAGTTACCCTCGTGTGGTTTCAACTATCGGGAGGCGTAGGCCACAACCTTACCTTTCTGTATAAGAAAGCATCCCAGTCCACTGTGCGATGCATCACTGAAAACTATGTAATCCTTGCCAGGCACTGGCTGCACTAGTACCGGTGCCTCGGTCAGACACTTCTTGAGTTTCTCGAAACTCTGCTGACATGCGTCTGTCCATGCAAATTTCACCTCCTTCTTTAGCAGCTTATTTAACGGTGACACTATGGATGAGAAGCCCTCCACGAAGCGCCAGTAATACCCAGCTAAGCCGAGGAAGCTCCTCACCTCTCGCGCATTCCTCGGAGCCTTCCACTCCGTTATTCCTAATATTTTGCTAGGGTCAACCTTGATGCCCTCATGGGAGATCACATGCCCAAGGAACGTGACCTCATCGAGCCAAAACTCACACTTTGGCAGCTTGGCATAGAGCTTGTGCTCCCTTAGCACACCGAGTACTGTCTGTAAGTGTTTCGCATGCTCCTCTGGTGTCCTAAAATACACCAAAATGTCGTCGATGAATACTACCACAAATTGGTCCAGGTAGGGACGGAAGACACTGTTCATCAAATCCATGAAGATCACCGGGGCATTCGTCAGTCCGAATGGCATCACCGTGAATTCGTAATGTCCATGGCGCGTTCGAAAGGCTGTCTTTGGTATGTCTTCTTTCTTCACAGGAATCTGATGATACCCTAATCGAAGATCTATCTTCGAGAACACCGTAGCTCCCCTGAGCTGATCAAACAAATCGTCAATCCGCGGTAATGGGTAGAGGTTCTTCACTGTAGCCTTATTCAACTGCATGTAGTCGATGCACAATCTCATGGATCCATCTTTCTTCTTGACAAAGAGGACCAGCTCTCCCCACGGAGACACACTCGACCTGATGAATCCTTTGTCCAATAATTCTTGCAACTGAGCCTTCAGCTCCTTCATCTCTGTGGGTGCCATGCGCTATGGTATTACAGAAATCGGTTCCGTTCCAGGAACCAAATCAATCAAGAACTCCACTTCCCTTGGCGGTGGCAAGCCAGGGAGATCATCGAGAAACACATCGGGGAAGTCACATACTGTAGGGATATCCTTCTCCTTGGGGGTCTCCTTTCTAGTATCGCGAACGTGGCACAAGAATGCTTCACATTTCTTCCGGATCAGCCGCTTTGCTTGCATAAAGACATAAATTCTAGAGGCTTGGGGAACAGCTCCCCCTTAACTTCTACGACATCACCATCGTCAGTCTTCAGTCGTACAGTGCGCAAACCACAGTCGATTATCGCTTGACGCTCGGTTAACCAATCCATACTAAGGATAATATCGAATTCCTTGTATGGTAGCTCGATCAGATTCACGGACAACCGGTGTCCGTGGGCCGCCAACGGACAGTTGCGGTACAAATGATGGAGTCGTATGCTATGCCCTAACGAATTAGATACTATCATGGTGTATTCCAAATAGCCCCTCTGGATATTAGATTTCTCAGGCATAGGAACACATATGTAAGACAATGTAGATCCTGGGTCAATTAATGCAAGCATAGGAGTGTCGAATAGTGAAAACATACCCAAGATGACGTTGCGGTTCACTTCGGTACGCCCCTTCATGGCGTAGGTGCGTGCAGGCGTGTGTCCTTGCTGATGGTTCTGATTCTGATTCTCTCCTCTCGGCGGGTTCGAGCCCGCGGTAGACCTCTGGCTTTGTGCTGGCCTCTGTCCAGCCGTCTATGTCTGCACCTCTGCTATGGGGAAGGCACGCCCGGGGTTAGTTGGGCAATCCTTGCGGAAGCGTCCTTCCTTCCCGCATCCCAAGCATAAGCCCAACGTGAACCAGCATTCACCAGGGTGATTTCTTCCACAGAGGTTGCACACCGGATGCCTGGAAGGCTTGCTTCTATTGCTTGCCGCCTGTGACTGAGCCGGTGCGGACTTGGTCTTCTTGAAGTTTTGGGTACCCTTAGTACCTCCAAAGGATCTCTTCTCGCTTGGCTCCGTCCTGGTAGTGGGTTGCTGGCTAGAAACTATCCCTTCAGCACCCATGCTTGCCTTCAGGTCGTCCACGGCTTTCTCCGCCTTAGCCATCAGATCATACGCCACTGAGAAGTCAATGGTGACCACGGTAGAAACATAAGGTCGCACGTCAGGGCGCAACCTCTTCCTGAACTCTTTAATCCTGTCAGCAGGTGTGGACACCAACGTGGGTGCAAACTGAGCTAAGTGATCAAACTTCTGTCATAGCTCAGCAAGGGTCATGTCCCCCTGTTCCAGTTCCATGAATTCTGACCGCTTCTCCTCTCGGAAACGAGCTGGGATGTATTCCTTCTTGAAAGCCCAGTCAAAGTATGCCAATGTCCAAGGCTTTGGCGTCTGCGACTCACTGTCAGTGCATTTCCACCACTCGTATGCTCCCTTGCGGAGTAACTGAGATGCCAACTTTGGATGATCTGCAACCGGTACATTCAGGTCATTGAGCACCCTAGCCACCTGCTCAATCCAATCAAGAGCCACTTGGAGTTCGTCCACTATATTGCCAAGGAACTCCTCCGCTCCGTTATTCTTCAGAGTTTTGAAGGTGATGTGTCGCTGTGGCGGCTGAGGCTGCTGAAACATCGGCGCATTGGCCATCTGCTGTAGGAACCGAGTCATGAAAGCAGGCATGACATTCTCCGACGGGTTTCCAAAATTCTGATTATCTCCCGCGTTCAGTGGCACATTGGGCTACCTAGCATTCTGCCGCGGCATGAAGCTAGATGCCCCCGTCTCGGCATCGTTGTGGTCGTCACCTGTTAGTCGGTTTAGTCGTTGTGCCCACGCCTTAGAGGGGGGTGAATAAGGCGTTTAAAAACTTTTCGGAGTTTAATAAAAACGGTGTTGGCAAATGCGGAAGCAATAAATAAAATGCAAAAATAAAAGCGTAAATAAAATGCACACCGAATTTATACTGGTTCGGGAAACCCATACTCCAGTATCTCGAGGCTCCTCCTCGAGGATTTCCGAATCCACTAAGTCTCGGCCTCTTGAACTCCGTCAAAGCACCGCACTAGTTTTGGAAAACAACCCTTGCCAATAGGATTCACTCAGAGATTTCACAACGGCTATCTTGAACCGTTTACAACGAAGATTTAACGGCTATCTTCTACCGTTCCCCCAAGGATTTCAAAGGCTATCCTTGAACCTTTACCCAAGGATTTATACGGCTATCCTTAACCGTTACAACGTGAGAATTTGACGGCTATTCTCGACCGTAAGAAGATGTGTTTGAAGAACACAAAAGTAGATTCTACACAACGGCTAGAATATTAAAATGAAGAACAAAACTTAGCCGGTGTAGAAGGAAAGTATACTCTCTCAAAAATACAATTCAAACTTATGAATATGAGAGTATATAACTAGAAACACAAGCTCAAAGTGTGTATAAAAATCAGAAATTTAAGGCTCTTGAAATAGCCAAAATATTGAAAATAATTAATAAAAGAATGAACACACTTAAAATATAAAGGGAGGATGTTTAGAGCTTTGTTTCTTCAAGAAATATGAAGGATTAGGCTTGTATTTATAGTGGAAGATGTTAATTAGCCGTTGGGAGGTGATTAGGGGTGATTAGAATTTAAATTGGCAATTTGCTACAGTGATTACAACGGATCCGGTACCCTTCACGGTAGGGGGGTCCGTGTCATCCAGTACCTGGGTACCGTGACACGGTACGGCCTACCGTGTGGGAGTACCGTGTCTTCCAAAAGTTCAGTTCGCCTCTGGCGGTACCTGGTTAGGACGGGTTAGGCCAACCGTCTACGCCTACCATCGGTACCTAGGTACCATTACACGGTATGGGGGTACCGTGTAGGCGGTATACCCTACCGTGTGGCGTACCGCTAGGGGTACCGTGACTCTGTTCTGATTTTTCCAAAATTTCCTTAATCCTTCGTGTTTGAGTTTAAAACCTTTTAGATATTTGAAAATGTTTATGTGATGGTTTTAAACATATTTTGTGAGTGCTTTTGAGCTTGTGAATATAGGTATATAAAGTCATATCCTTACATTGGTTTCTACCTATATTCTACGCTAGTTTTAGTGTTTCGACTTCATTCTTGAGTCCCGAATCTTAATGGATTCTTGTTTTCCTGAAACACTTAAACAAACGTTAAGCTCTTATATTGTTTGTTAACATCAAAACATGAGGCTTAGCAAACCAAGGCTAACATCACCCAGGTGCTGGGTGTTGTCATTAGCGTGCGTCGATGTGTTACTCATTCTAAATTTACACACATAGATCCCTAATCAGTCATTAGCACATAACAAACAAGGTATAAACTTATTACCTTCTCGGGGCTGATGAGTCGCAAGAGATGTGGTGCAGCTTTTGGAAACAATCTATTTATGATCCGAAGATCGGTTTTAAAACCATACGCTCTGATACCAAAATGTAACACCCCAACCCGCATAACCCGAATACTCGGATCAGCGAACCGGGTTGCTACTAATTTGGTAATCAAACACCATTTAATTTTCAAACAATTTAAAACATTTAATTCAAAACGATATTTAATTATCCATTAGAGTAAATCAAAACGGTTGCGGAAGCTAAATTCTTAATTCAAAACACAACTTGGGAATCATGCCCGAAATAGTAATAAGTCATTTAAATAATAATAATAGTTCAAAATCATCGAACACCGCCACGCACATCTCAGCCTCCTCATCGCCCTCCAGGATTGGCTCCAAGCTCAGCATTTCCTGGATTACCTACGTGTAGCAATAAGAAAAAGGGCTACACGCTCAGCATTGAAGCTAAGTGAGAAATATCTAACATACAGCTATACCCATAGATGATCCCACTAGCCCAAATCCTCATACGATATCATGCACACAACATGCTCAACATATTCACACATCATACAGAATATAACAAATGTAATTAACATCATCATCCAAGTGGTACGATCTACAGAATACGATAACAACTTTTCCACTTCCTTTACTTTACGTTCTTTCTGTACTCGACTCTTAACCTATACTAGGTAAAAGCTTGACTGAATTCGACTTGCCTATGGAGTCATGACCTTCCCCGTCAGAACGAAGGTCAAGCTCAAACCAACTCGGGAGTTCCTCGTTGGGTGGGTGAGATCCCTATCCCCTTCGGAACGACAGTTCTTAGATCCCCGTGTACACGTTTTTACCCGGATAGTCATTGGACCCAGCAGGTACCACATGACTCTAACTTACTAACTTATGACATAACTTGCCATTATTTCCATTCAGGTCAGTTCCTAGGGTTCGTTCTAGGTATTTCATCCTTTAATTGCCATTAGTTCATATCATACATGTTCATGCATCATACACATATTTAATCACATTCAATACACAAAATCAGCGGCCTAACCCTGGGTATTGACACCCATGTTTACGGTCATGCAACACACAAAGTCTCGGAATCGATCCTCGACGCAAACGACAGATTTCAGACTGGTTCAGGTACCTCACGGTACCCTTGGCGGTAGGGGTTACCGGTCCCACGGTACCAAGGTAACGTCCCCATGGTACGGGGGTACCGACCATGTCAGCTAGGGTCCCTTTCGGTAGACCATCACGATAGCCTCTACCGGTCAGGCGATAGAGTCCACCGTCCATACGGCACCTGGGTCCCGTCCTAAGTCACGTACCGATAGAGAGAGAGAGAGACGAAGCTAGGGAGGGTGGCAGTAGTCAGGTACCGTGTTGCGGTACCCCCTACCGTCTGTTGCGGCAAACACCAGACTTGCACCAGCTCCGTTTTCGCCCATCAAACAGCTTTAGTTCTAGTAAATACAAGTATAACACATCATAAACCATCAATCCAACATTATCTAACCCTCCCTCAATCATACTATCTCAAATCACGTTTTTCACATCATAAACTACGTAAACAAATCATAATTCTCGTATAGTCCAAATAGATCAACCGTAAAGATTCTACGAACGTAAGATTCAAACCTATGAATATAACCATACATTAGATAACCACGTACTCACCTCGAATTCGACGATTAAGCTACGAGATAGTACTCACGAACAACGGCGTCGGTTCCTTCCTCTTCCTTCTTCCTTCTCTTCTTCTCTTCTTCTCCTTCTTCATGCGGTTGTCCTTCTCCTCTGTTCCATTCGGCGATAGTGAGACACGAGAGAGAGAGAGAGACGCGAGAGAGTGGGGAGGAAGTTACGTAAATATGGTATGGTGTGAGGGTTTGGGGAGTGTAGGGAGTGTATTTATACTTTTGGGTTTTGGGCTCCGCATTAATTGAACGTACCTGGCCCAAACGCACTTCCCGGGCCCACTGACTCCAAATCCAAATCTGATTTCACCGTTAGATTCGATCCGTCGAACCCTACACAACGGTATAATCTTTATTGTCAAACGAAAGCTACATGTAATTTTCCACCGAGTCCGTCTCAATAACTAATTAATTATTTCTAATTAATCAATTCTGATAGGCCGGGTTTCGGGGTGTTACAGAATTCCTATTTTTGGAATAAAGACATAGAACTTTTTTGTTTACATTTTTTATTTTTTACTCATATTTTAGTCTTTTTCTCTAAGCTCTTTTGACTTAATTTTTTTTTATAAAAATTAGAAAAATGAGCAATTTTTAAGTAATAAAGGGAAAACTGAGATGTCTTATAAAAAGTTATATTAATAAAACATTCAATATAACTATTTTATCCATAATTTTTTAGTATAATTTAACATATTGATGTTTTCCTATTTTATCATGTAGACTAATATACAAAAAAATGTCTTATTCATATTAAAAAGTTGAAGAAAAAAATAATAAGTGTGAATCTTAAAAATAGTGAGATGAGAAAAAATAATTTATAAACTATAGTTATAAATATAACAGTTGTAATAATAATAATAATCACATTGAAATATATCATTTTTAGAGTAATTGGTTGAGGAGTAGAAAGAATTTGAAGAAAATGAGAAAAGTTGGAAGAAACTGGAAGGAAATGGAAGAAACTGGAAGGAATTGGAAGGAACTGGAAGAAATTGGAAGAACTGGAAGAAACTAGAAAAAACTGGAAGAAACTGGAAGAACTGGAAGAAAATGGAAGTTAAGAGTAAAAGCCCTAAAGAACAAGCTCTAAGTAGTGAAAGAATGAAGTGTCAAAGTCTCCTTATATTGATAAACATGCAAGGATGCCTTGGAGTATTTTACACACACACCACCAAGTTAGAAGCCAAATGTGATGAGAGGTGTGGTGGTTGTATGTAGTGGGGGTTGGGAAGCAAATTAGTGTGTGGGATGGGTATGATGGAAAGAGAATATTGATTATTTGAGTGGGGAAATCTTTGGATTATATGGGGGAATGAATGTGGAATTTGGGATAAAATCCTTGTTCCGGAAGAAATATTTATCAATTTGATTTTAGGTTGTTTTCCAAGCGGAGTCTGATTTCGAAACCGATTGTGTATTTGAGCTCAGAAAATAAATAGAATCCAACAATGTATTTAAAATATTTTTCCTAATATTTTTATTTTTCAGGCCACTGGAGCCTACACGGTCAAAATCGGCAATTTACGTAGTTAATTCTTCTAGTCCGATTTTTCGTGGCATTACACAACCATCTACATTCACTTGGAGAATAAGATAATTTTTGGTAAATTCTGCTGTTTTACCTAGAGCTTCATGGGAGAAATTGTAGGTGCTACCATCAATTCTTCAAAATTGTGATCGTATTGTAAAGTTCATACATTGATAAAGAATATGAGATTGCATTCATCTACGT